GATCTCGTTTCCGTGTCGCCCGTCACTCGAGAACCAGACCCCGAGGTACTTGAACTTCTCCACCTGTTCCAGTGGGATCCCACTGACATGCCGGGTGCACCGAGCAGGATTTCTCGAGAGGACCATGACCTGTGTCTTGGAGACGCTCGGTTTCATTCCGGCCGCAGTGCATTCGGAGTCGAACCGATCGAGCACGCTCTGGAGCTCCTGTCGAGAGCGGGTCGAAAGAACGGCATCGTCGGTAAAGAGTATCCTTACCGCGACGTCACCGATGTCGACCCCCTCCAGGCCGAGGCTGCGCCTACAGATCCTGTCCATGTACACGGGGAACAGGAAAAGTGAGAGGACACAACCCTGCCGGAGTCCAGCGCGCACCATAAAACAATCCTCACTCCTCCCGCTCACTCGGACGCAGCTTCTGCAATCGCTGAGTAGGAACATAAACGGAGATTTTCAGACCGAATTGTGGCTTCCGTGTGAGCCGTGAATTTATTGATGCGGCCAAGCTTCTTTTTCCCATCATTTTTATATTGTGAAGCAACGAAAGGCAAAAGCGCATAAAAGACATCTTTCCTATGAGGAGATGGCGACTCCTTACGTCTAATCCCTAACACAAATAGAACGGAGATGCTTAGGAATGCGTGCCCGTTGAACTATCATTAGAAATTTCTGTTTTTCTTTGTCTTTTTGTGTGACATCCACGATAAGGATTGGAGATAAAGGAGGAGTTATCACGTTCTCGTGGCTCAGTGGACCTGCTGGATTTCATGTTGCGGTGATCGAGGAGTCGCGGAATGCGTTTTCTCGTCTTTCTCCCATTCCTCGCTTCCCTCGTCCTGGGATTCACCGATCGTCGGGATCCTCAACGCGTCAATCACGTAGGTATCTTTCATGACTGTAGCTTACATACCGACGGCGAAGAGTAACTCGTGCGGAATATCCGTTCCACCTAGGAGATAGACGAGTCCGAGTTCTGCACTTACGACGGGGAAATCGGTCATTGCGAGGCGATTCTCGACTGCAAACGGGAAATTCCCGAGGAGGAACACTTTCGGAGACGCCATGCTTGTTCCCACGTCCCTTACAGGTCAGTGTTTCCATCGAGGCTTATCTATTATCGTCACACTCATGAAACGACCGAGTATTCCCGTGAATCGAGATTTCTTTCCCATTCCCAAACATGGCTTTACAGGGTTGCCACTGCAGGGTTGCCAGAGGTACACAGAACAACTGGCTACATACCACGTGACAATTTGAATGTATCACGAGCAGCCACTGGAAAATAATAGCAATCTATGACGCGAACATCGTCGCTGATGATTCGTGGCTGCTTTCAACGGGTCTTCTCAATCTCCACTGCGAATGCCGAGAGTTTCTTCTTAAATATGTAGTATCTAATAGAAGCTAGAGAGGCGCACTCTACTCACAGGGTCATTCAAAAGTCACTCTCTACAGGGTGGCCATAAAGTCTGGAAACATAGGATATATTAGGATAATTTTTTGGAATGGAAATGCCAATTTAATTAATCGGGTTCGTCAACACTTCAAACGTCGCCTTCAAATCTGTATTGATTCAACGGGAGAACATTTTGAAAATTAATTTTAGTTTATTTGTACATTATCTTAATATATCCGTAATACGATCCTAGGTTTCCAGGCTTTATGGCCAGCCTGTACTTTTGAAAATTCCTAACTTTTGTTCCAATGAGGATAGCAACTTCTTTCTTGCAGCGTTTGATAACTTTTGAATTTTATTTTACTCCAATATCATTTCAACAAAAGCTTCGGCAACATAATTATTTTTCAGGGAATGCTTAAAGACGTTTCTTCCACCTGCGTGAATTTCTTTGGAGTCCGGGCGGTCCGCTGCGCTTCATATCTTTTACTGAAGCAGTTTTAATCAACTTGTGACAGTTTTTAATTCATTTGGGGTCAAGGGTTTCATGCTTAAGATTTTCACACCTGGTAGCACCTATGAACCTAAGTTCCGCTTGGGGAGGGGGGGGGGGTCTGTGGTCACCAACAGTCGACTGCGGCGCCATCGTTTATCCCACAATCACAAGACCTATAGTATTTTCTTTTAATCCATAAAAACTACTTTCAAATCCTGCAGAAGACAAGTTTCTCTCCTTATTAGAACCATAGTTGCGAATTTAAAAAAGGAGCGACTTTCCAATCACCCTGTAGGAATATAGAGTGATTCAAAATAAGCGCTCTACCATTTTCTATGGGAGAAACACAGTTTCATTTTTTTAAAATAACGATTTATATTGACTACGCGATCGACGTTGAACAGTTACAAGGTGTTGAGTTGCTAGTCAGCGTTTTTTCAGCACCCCTGCCTAAGTAATGCAGTGCCCATTTAGAGGTGAATTACAGGTGCTTAGATATAGATCATTCCACCTTAAGTGAGGTAATGATCTGTGCTCGACCGTCTCAGAATTAAATTAAATTTGGCAAACGGTCGGATTATTTTGAGAATAGCCAGCAGACAAAATATGTCTGTACTTCGAGCGGAGACCAAGAAATGTGAGTTTTAAGTTGATAGAGGGGGGGGAATGGTGGTTGGGGGCACAAAATGGCCCCCACCCCCAGATGCTAAATTCCTGACTACACCGTTGTTATGTCACCACCCCATTTTTATTTGCTATAACTTTTCATGAGGCAGTTGGATGCAACTGATACTTGACCATACTTGACTTGATACTTGATACTTGACCGCATACAGCTCCATCTGCAAGATGGAGCTGTATGCGGATAGAGGGTGTTGCTCTTAATCGGCCTTCAATCTTCGTGCTACGGCACTTCTTAGGTAGGAAAAAAACTTTTTTAAGCCTTTAAACCATACCTCTCTGCCAAATATCCATTGTATTGTATCTGAGACCCCCTTTCAAAAGATTTGGTCTAGAAGCCAATTGAATGAATTGTATGAATCTAGTCCAAGTCGGTTTGAGGCCAAAATTAGGGAAACTATTCTTATTGACTTTTGAGACTATGGAGCATAGACCATTACTGCATTTGAGGTGTAATGATCCACCTGTATACTTAGTAACAGGACAATGCGCAGCTCAAAGAATTGTTCTGAGAAAAATCCAGATAATCTTCTCTCCATCTTATATATCCAATATCAAGAGTTTATGAATCGTATTATTTTTGCTCGAATATACGAATCTTACTTTCTCCCTTAGGAAATGGTGGAGTGTTTATTTTTAATTACCCTATATGCTTAGCGTATTTTGCAAAGCGGGTGCCAGAAATTGAAAATAAATGGTTGAAACAAATGTCTGGCTGGTGCCAGGTTCTGTGTCAATCTGGAATTTCCACTTCTTGTTCAAGCTTACTCTTTTCGTCTTCAGGAACCGGTTTGAAAATGGACGTCAAAATAATCTAATAATGATGAGTTATTATGCGATGAGTGAAAGTTTTCCCAGTTGCCCTCTCGAACTAAACAGTGTTCGTATTTAAACTCAAGAAATAGAATGTATTTCTATCTGTTAGTTCAGCTGATGCTACATGGCTCACCGGGTTGCATACTTTTAAGGAAACACATTAACACCAAACGCCATGAATTTAAGAGCAGGTGGACAAACGAGTCTCCTCATTATTTCCCCTTGGGATATAGAATAACCTTTGGCAAGTTGTCTCTGTGCGATTTACATTTTTTGAGTAGAGCGTCAGAAATGAAATAACTACCACTGGGCAGTAGTGTCCGGGCGATAAGGACTTCTATAGGGGGGATTGTTATAGGGATTGCCCATGTCTGCATCCAGAATTACTGCACGCTTTGTCGAAAAGTTCGAAGCGTTGGTTTGGTTGGTCTGCGTTGAGGAACCCTACGATGATGACTTCGATCGTCGTTTGGAATCCCGACATCATTCATACCTGTTTTGTCGCCGAGACGGCTTTCTTAATGCGTGAAGCCTGCTTTGACGAGGCCAAGTCCATGCCTACGGTGAGGTGAACCACCACAACACTCGATACCGGTCTGTTACGAACCGCAATTTGACCCACGAAACACACGCAAAAAGTCGACACGAAGCGATGGTGTTGTGCGAGATTCAGGATGACGAGAATGTTGGACCTTTTCTTTCAACGGGAATTTCGAACGCGAAGCAGTCCCTCCCGCGAGGTGGTGCGGACCCGAAATGAAACCTTCCGGGAACGAGCAGGACGGAGAGGCAACGGTAGAGGCGGGGGTGGGGGGCTACATGGAAAAAAAACTAGGGAGAAACTAACAGGAAGCACAAAAGTTAAATGGGACGCCTTTGCTAATCTAAATCTAAATCTAAATCTAAATCTAAACTAAGTCTAATCTAATCTAAAAGCAGTCTAAAAGGAAAAGCCTCTTCTCCGCCCAGACTATTGCTAAAACTTCGTTCGAAAGGGGAAAATTTGTAGACATGTCCGACCCGGTCGCTATTTCATCTAAATATTGGGATGATGAGAGAGAATGTCATTGTTTGATACCATATCGGAGTCCAAGATCATTGAACGCAAATTTCATAAATATTAATATCTTATGAGATGCGATGTAGGTCTTAAACGGATTTCACTTCTCAAGAAGTCTGAAGATGGGGCGAGAAACCCCTGGGGGCCCCCCCTCTCTTTTCGGTTGCGTCACAGTTCAAGGATCCTCCGGTTCTGATTGGTAATTCCGGTTTTGTCCCCACCGGCCCTCTCTCAATACCCTGTTAATTTCGCACCGAGATAATGGAACAACAGACTCCCTTGGTTGCTTTTACAATCCTTTCAGATCAAGGTTTAGGTTAAGGTTAAGGTTAACAGAGGCAAGGAACAGGCCCCTGCATTCCATCATTTTGGGGTCCAGAGAGGGGAATTAATCATAGCATTAATCGAAGCTGAAATTTTAAATCACTTGGGGAAGATCGGTCGGTTAACCGGTTGCATGGTTAACCGTTGGAAACCCTAGTTGAAACCATTAATGGAACTGAAGAGACGAAGTATGAGGATGATGAGTATTTATTTGTCTCGTGTGGGAGAAAAGGGAGACGATATGTTGCGGAATAACGGGAAGCATAGACTACCCGGGGCGGATCGTGGGAGGAGATGACACGGCACCTTGGGAATATCCTTGGATGGCTGCCCTTCTCCAAACGCCTTCCAGTAGAAGACCGTTCTGCGGCGGATCCCTCATTTCTCCCGTCCACGTCCTCACCGCTGCTCATTGCGCGAAACTGTGCGTCCTCCTCGCCGCTCACTCAGGCGGAGTTTGTCAATAATCGGTATCACAACTCGTGCTTCTCTTGGCAGTATTCTCCCAGACCCAACATCTTTTCGAGTCCGGATAGGGGAGCATAACTTTGACAGAGAACTGGAGACGGAATATCGAAATTTCCGAATCGAACGTGTCCACGTTCATCCCAAGTACACAGTTACCGACTTCGCCCTCTACAACGACCTGGCTATTCTTGAACTGAATAGTTCCTGCATGAGCAATCCTCGAACTGTCTGTCTCCCCCATGAACCGAATGATTTTCGAAATCATGAGGCCGTCGTCATAGGTAAGGGATTCCATTGCTTGTCTCGTGCCTTTATCTCGTCTTCCCTCCAGGTTGCAGAACATTCAAGCAGATCGAAGCAGAAATGCCCGGGTGTCCCAAAAGTAGTGTCGGGATCTTAATAGCGGATTGCCAGAAGACAAAGCAAAGTAGAATAAAGCTAATATGCTTTGGACACTCCTGAGTGTAAGGAGTTAAGTCACGTAAAGGAGTTACATTATGAAAAATGTATGCTACTAAATTAAATATGCAACAGGCTTTTCTCCTCTTATCAGAGGGGGTTCATAAATATAGTCTCCATTTCTTTAAAGCCTAAAATCATTCTCTTTCCTTCCGCGACATTGCATTCATTAAGCGGAGTAATGTGGGTTCTTGATTCTAAAATTGTTCACTGTAAGGATAAGGGATTACTCTCTGCTGGGGAAGACGCGTTTTAGGGAATCATCATTAGAAGAATCCTAACGCACTCATGGCCACATTGCAACAGTCTCATGATCCCTTCCTTCAATCGTTCCTCTGAACTATTGCTGCGACTGGTAAGTATCAAAGGCGCAAACAGCTTTGGCAGGAAATTGAACGAGGTACTGTATACTGTCAGTTCAAAATGAAGGGGGAGTCATGGAGAGCAAGAATGCTCTATTTAGGCGACAGAAACAGAATAAATGTTTTCAGGAATGGCGTCTCCATTTAGAAAAAAAAGCTGAGACAAGATTTGGAATGAAATTAATTTGGATCCTCATATACCCTATGCCACTTCTTCAATAATAAGAATCTGGATAAAAAGTGATCCCATACCATGATTTCCTCTGATGTACGTTGAATACGGGTCAGGGGATAGCCCTCAGAGTAAAACATGGGAAGAACAAGCCTGGTTCATAGACTGGTAATACTTCCACAATCTCGGATGGACGACGAATCATGATGCGATCATATCTTGGTACCGTAAGTGCTAGGTTGATTCCGCAATAGCTTTTCTACAGTATACACTAGCCTGGCGAGCTCCTCTATGCTCAGCTCCGTGTCATCATGCTAGATATAACCGATCCGTACCTTTGACGACATCTTGTTGTCATGGAGAATACATTAGCGCTTTCTTCACAAGCCACGAGATCTAACTTTTGTCACACAGGACAACATTTTGAGGCGTCGATATGTGGCGAGACGTGTTGCTTTCTATAAAATGAAATAACGAAAGCGAAATTCTGAAATGCAGAAAACAGGAAACTGTTTTTCTGTCACATGGCGCAATCGTGTCAATAAACAGATATCATCCCCAAGGCCGAAAGAAATCGAAGAAATTCTTGATACCGGAAGCGAGACCTCATGAGACCTCTGTTCAAAAACCTCATGAGGATCTCATGAGGTTTTCTCAGCATTATTTTTTCATCGAAATGCTTGTCCATAAAAAATACAATGTTTTGGGGGATTGAAATCCCGCTAAAAAAAAATCGGTAGCGAAGGGGTTAAGGAACAGTTGTCTGAAAGTTTGTGAGAGGAAGCGGTGAAAAGGTTTATCACTGAAGGCCAATTCCCTCTTCTGGATGATTTGTCGATGAAATTAATTCGCAAGAACGAACAGCAACGGTTGAGCGCAATGGTATGAATGAGTCACTGGATGACTGCGGATGCGGATGATGCAGAAGCTGCGCATAGAGAAATGATGGAAATGGATTCCGCAACTTCTACTAGTGAAAGTGAAACCATCACAACCAACGAGGAAAAGAATCATTCAAACTCTGGAAATGAGAGTTTTTCAGCGAATCCTGAAATGGACAACCATGTTCAATGAAATTAATATGTAAAGAATGCTGCCTACCTTACTCCTCTCTATGGTTAAAGGACCGTCTCTATGGTTCCAGGAAGGGATAAATTCTCAGTTTTGGAAGTGACCGTCTTGACTCTTGCATTTGTATATGTGGTGCCGAGTTCACTTGAACATCAGAACATCAGTTGACATCAGAATTTTTTCATAAAAACAATAGATCCTCCTATTTTGAAGCGATACTCAGAAGTTCTTTCTCTGCCTGGTAGAAACTGACGGTTGTGAGTAGGAGTATATGCATTCTGCTGCCTTGTCCCTCTTACTTTTTAGCCAAAATAGGCCACTACGTATACGCCTTTTTTTTCGGATTTCGCATATACATAGGCACATACCATTGGAAGGGAAGACTCGTCTTTCAAAATGCAGATATTTGAAAATTCACTTACAATTATTGAGGCTGTCTCCCAGAATTCCCCTGCCCCAGGGATGAATGCAGCCGTGATCCGTGTAACGCGAATGCTTCTAGCGATATTGAATATATTGATAGTATATTATTTTTCATGTGTAACGTGAGTGTGAATGAAACGTGAAGCCTGTGTATTGTAACTTCTGACACTCAGGAGTGTCGTAAGCATATTAGCTTTATTATACTTTACTTAATTTTTCAGTAACTCACAATTAAAATCCTGTCCACTTTCGAGACATTATACATTATACGTGCATTATACGATTATACGTGTATTATACGTGTCAATAAATGCTATCAATAGGAATGAAACTCAACTTTACCACCACTCCTACCCTTTTCAGTGTCATTTCATGGATGAGCACAAATTAAATAAAAAGTAAAGAAAACTCAAAAACAGAGGAGACAGGCGAGAGGAGGAAGCTGCCTGAGAAGATTGTGAACTATGTTGTATGTCTGCGTGATGCAGGCTGGGGTGCGTTGATGGAAGAGGGGAAACCAACACACACACTCCAAGAAGTCAATGTTGACGTCTATCCGCAAGAGAAATGCAAGGAGAGCTACCACGGAATCACGGATACTCATCTGTGTGCAGGGATCCAGGAGAACGGAGGGAAGGACTCGTGTCAGGTGAGGCAAAGTTCCTGGGCATCAGGATTCGATCACGCGGTCTGCAATTTGAAACACGATCCGTCCTTTTTCTTTTCTCCCAGGGGGATTCCGGAGGACCTTTACACGTGAATATGAAAGGGAAATGGGTTCAGGTGGGGATCGTCTCGTATGGGTACGGCTGTGGGAGGCCTAATCAACCCGGAGTTTACATGAATGTCTCCTCCCACTTGTTGTGGATTGCTGATGTCCTCGATCATTACACCCTAAATGGTTCGACTCTCCAATGATCTCGACGAATGTCAATAACGCTGATAATTATCATTATGGAGGTCTTCTTGCAGATGAAACGTGTGGCGAATCTCTGCACCAAGATCCAAAGATGTTAGACAACTGCCCGAATGGAGCAGCATCCTTACACTCCCTCCTTCAACCTTCGTTTCCGCCGTTGACCATACTCATCCTATTTTCAACCTCTCCCTCTTTCCTTTCCTTAGTTATCTGATGACTCCAGATACCATTGCGTAATACTTTTCGAGCTCCGCGTCACGTCGCAACTTGATGAATGAATTAATGCCAATTGTTCCGTTTTCTTCATTTCCTCAAAAAGTCCCTCTGCGCTCTACAGCTTTAGAAAGTTTTGGTGGCAAGATTTTTTCACGTCAGAACGGAATGTAGGTAAGACACTAAGGTCCAAATGCACAAACATCACTTAGGGGGGATAAAGAACTAAAGAGCTCTCGTCCCCCCATAGAAGTCCACGTATTCCTAAAGGACCGTTAACTAAAAGAGGTTTCAGCATTCGGGCCTAAAGCTTTAATGGCATCTGTTACGTGATTACATTCTCGGCACAGTGCAGTTATGCCAGTATCAGTGTTATCTTCCAGGACAGCGAGGAAATTCTAAAATCTCATTTACAATCATTTCTACAGTCCTAAAAAATATTGGACCAATACGAACCAACATTCATAATGGCTATTAAAAAAAAAAAAAACAAGATGAACAAATCCAGTCCAGTAGCGGGCCTCCTTTCACTTACGAAGACCCTCATTTTGTCACCTAATTGAACTCTTTCCGGTCCTCGACCTTATAAAAATCTCACTTCTCAGTTAGATTTGGCAAATCTACTCATGGTGTCATGATGATGGGAGGATGGAGGTTTGTGCATGGTTGGATCGATCCACCACTAAGGCTAGTAGAGAACTGACAGCACTGGTTGGGGGCAAAGCATTGTGCCGAACAAGGACCAATAATAGAATAGGACTGGAAATCGGAATCGGCACGCTTGCACTCCGCGTATCAACATGCACATCGGTGCAGGCAGTGCTCCAAGCGGCTGCTGAGGAAAAACACATTGTAATACATATATTCAGTGGCGTAGGGAAGGGGGGGGGGGGGGGTTTAGGGGGTTAGAACCCCCCTCCCTTGGGCTTCTCGGTCAGTGACACTGACAGGCATATTTCAACCTTCCTTGGGAATTCTAATTTTAGCTATGCCCCTTCGAGGAAAGTCTGAGGTCCGTCCACACATCCAAGATGCCAGACCATGATTTCTTTGAAAAGGTAAATTCCGGGTAGTGGAGTTAGGCGTAGGGTTGGGGTGTCTACCTGGCCTCAACCCCCCCTTGCCGATTTCCTGCCTACGCCACTGCATGTATTCCATCGTTCTCCTGCCGTTACTCTCTCAGTTTTTCCGCGTGCAGTTCCGCGTTGCGCGTGCAGTTTTCTGTGCGAACGTGAATGAAAATTAGTTGTAAGAAGCAAACTTGAAATTGTCCAACTTATCACAGCTTGGTTGATTTTATGTTAGTGTTGTATCATGGAGAAAACTTTCATTTTCCGTTTCAGAATGTAACCAGTTTTCATGAGTTATTCTCACTGTTATCATAATGAAAGCTGAGAGTTTATTTTCATTATATGTAGATAGATCTAGAGTGTCCTTGGACGTCTTTCAGGGTGAAGGAGCACATCCTCGAGGCGCAAACATGGGCTCATATGTAACTTAATATTCAATACTGACCTATTTGGGCATCCTGGAAATCTAAAGAAGTGTTTCCCTCCCGAGTTTCCGTCGGTATTATTACAATTAATAGCAGAACCCTAGCGTACGCCATGCTTCGTCATGGAAGACAGCGGCAGACGAATGTAGTTTTCCTCAGCGACCACCAGGTTCGTTGCCTGCACAGGGTGGATGGCTGCTGATACGCGATTTCCAGAGGAGTGTCCAGTCCTCTTCAATTACTGGTCCTTGGTGCCGAAGGCCAGGTCATTACGCGCATGCGCATGCATTGTGATTCAGATCCTTAAGGGCTGTCGGGAACTCATGCCATCCCCGCCGTGAGCAAATTTCAAATCCAAAGTTCGTGATAAAAATGGCAATTTTGGGGCTAATTCGCCACAAAACGAACTTAGCTAGTATCTTGTCCATATCTTGCTTGCAATTTTCGCATTTGTCAGTCAAATATTTTCTTAGTTATCGTCGGACGACCAAAGTGTGGACACACAGACGGACAGGACGGGACCATAAGTGGTCTCTTTACCTTTCAGGGAAAAAGGCCCTTTAAAAACAAGTTGGGCAAGCCCAATCCAGTAGTGGGCCTCGTTTCAGCTAAGGAAACCCTCATTCTGTCACTTCTCACTTCTCATTCAGTCACTCAAGAGTTCTTCCCTTTGAGGAGATGACGACTCCTTCAATCAAACCGTCAACACAAACAGAACAATGAAACTAACGAAGGCGTGTCCATTTAACTATCATGGGAAACTTCTGGGGTTTTCGGGCTTTTTTGTATGAGATCCACGATAAGGATTGGAGGTTAAGGAGGAGTTATCACTTTCTCATAGTTCAGTGGACCTGGTGGATTTTATGTCACGCTGATCGAAAAATCGAGTGCCGTGGAACATCCGTCCAGAAATGCGCTTTCTCGCCTTTCGCCCAATCCTCCTCGCTTCCCTCGTCCTGTGGTTCAACGATCATCAGGATCTTCAACACATCAATCACGTAGGTATTTTTCATGACTAGCTTCCATACCGACAACGAAGAATAACTCGTACGGGATATTCGTTCGACCTAGGAGATAGACGAGTCCGAGCTCTGCACTTACGATGGGACAATCGGTCATTGCGAGGCTACTCTCGACTGCAAACCGGAAATTTACGTAGAGGAACTCTTTCGGAGACGCTATGCTTGTTCCCACGTCGCCTACAGGTCAGTGTTTCCATCGAGTCTTATCTATTTTCGTTGCTTTCTGAATTTGAACTGAATTCGGCCGAACCACTGAAATAGCGCTATTCCCTAGAACAAACGAGCTCGCATCGGACAAACAAAAATACTAGGAGTGGCCTGTGCGAGCTAACTTTGGCCAGGCCAGTCAAATAATGAAAATAACTTTTGCATTGTTGTATCCTACAACGTAGGCTGGTGAATTCATAACAGTCTCAACAGGAATTAATCGGTACACCATCATCCTGATTTCCAATGAAAGATTCCTGACTTTTGCTTCATCCTTTACAGGTCACTGGATAACGAATTTGGAATCTTGTCACGCATACCGGACAGCCCAGAAAAGATGCTAACTTGGTGAGCCTGAAGACGGAATAAAATACGAGATATCGGCAGTAAATTTACAGGCGCCACATCCGGCATGCGTAGGCGATATCAAGATATTTTCAACGCTACTTGTCTTTTGGAATCTGAGTGACATCCTCTTTTCACCGCGATATCCGACAACCGTGATGCTCACTATGGATGCTTGCCCTGTTAGGGATGGGTCTTGCATAAACTTCTTTCAACTGAGCAGGGAGAAGCAAATTCTCTCTTTCGTCATGGCGAAAAAAAAAGAAGCCATTATTCAGGTTCTGACATATCAATTTCCTGATAAATTTCGAGAACATCCGGCGCGTGCTGGATGCGAACCCCTGAAAATTTCCTGCAGATATCTCATTTGGGGTTCCGTTCGCTGCCATGAGATTTTCGATTAAGTTGAGTCATTTGATGTCTTGGAGGGGGGAGAGTAGGAGAGAGGAGGAATAGGAGGAAGAGGAGGACGAAGATGAAGATGAGGAAGAAGGGGAACGAGGAATTTTCGCTAATTTCACATAGCGAATAAAAAATGGTCTTATTAGAATTCTGTACAAGTCTCGTTGAAATTTTCTCGAAAGCATTTTCCTAGGTTGGACGAGACATTTTGATATTTTTATTCTGAGACTTCACATGATATTCTGTCTGTAGTCGTGTGAAGTTAGGAACTTTAGGGGGGGCCGTACGATGAGCCAAAAAAGTAACCCGGTGAAAAATTCATGCCATGTCACAGCAAGAAATGGCACACGAGGTTTAATAAAAGTAAGTGTAAAGTTCTCCACGTCGGTCGAAATAACGGTAGGTCTCTCGACACGTTCGGCGAGGTTGAACTGGGGGAGGCAAACGGAGAGAGAGATTTAGGAGTTTCTATCGATGATGACCTCAAGTTTTCCTCGCACGCGCAAGCGACGGTGGCCTAATGCAGGAGGATTCTAGGTTTCATCCGTCGTTCGGTTGCAAGTAGGACTTCGCGCGTTATTTTTCCGTTGTATGCGGCGCTGATAAGATCCCAGTTGGAAAATACAGTACCTTTTTCAGGTGATTCTCAGGCATATCTGCCATTCAGGCAACCCGCACGCCCGAAGGAGCACGCAGGGGCTTATGCAGGAATGGAGAACAGGGCGAGGAGTGGCCAGGGTAATCCGTTGTGCCTCGTTTCACCTTCCTGCAGTCTAGACAGAGAAACCAAGTGACTACGAGGTCAAATCATACCCCGAGGATAAGTCAAAATCCAGACGGCAAGAAACATAAAAGCGAAATTCCTCCATTCATTAATGGGATTTTTGGGCAACGCCGTATTGACGTATTGAAAGAATGTTCATATGCATGTCTGCATGAGACATCCGTATTCACGTTGCGAATCGACTCTTCGCAGATGATTTTCATTTGGCATCGATATCTCGTAAGAGTCTTCCATGCTGCGGATGCCAACTGAGGGATAGCCACTGGGGCCTGTAACGCACCGATCCGTTTCTTCCCTTCTGCTTTGAAGAGCGAAAAGGTGAATTCGATGGGACTTCAGGGAGTAGGGGGGGAGGAATAGAATGGAGTGGGTTGGGTATCGAGGAATAACCCTTTTGTGCACTTGAGCATTGTCCAACACGAAAATGAACTCATTGTCCGGTCCGATGATGGCACTTACTTAGTTCATCCTAAAATTCAGCAAACGCAACTCGCGTGAGACCTGATTCCATCGTCTGGTGGTGCAGAAGTACACGAGAAAGGACGACCTTAACCTGACGAGCTGACAGACCGAAATTTCCATTCGGTCTTGCATTAATAAGTTCCTCTTCACATCTCTCTTTCGCAGTTGTGCCGTCAAGAAATGTATCACGAATGGAATCGAAACCGGCTTGTGCTTACAGACGCCAGACTAGAAAGGAAACGGAAGCTCCTCGACAGGCCGGAAAGTCGACAGTCGGAGCTGTTCTGCTCTCCCTCGGCTCATCGGCTGGCCCGTGCGCTTTTCCCTTTTTCCATCATCTTAGCGAATCCTTTGGGGGGTGCGGGTTAGCGTCATTGCAGGAAGGCCTGAGAATCATCTGAAAAAGGTATATTGCATCCAGTTTTGGAGGCCTACAAATAACGATGAATTGTTGGCGCTCGAGGGGGTACAGCAGAGGGCCACAAGAATGATTAAGGAGGTTAGGGGACTTCCTACGAGAAGCGTTTAGAAGTGCTGGGACTGTACTCGAGAGAGAGAAGGTTAAGGAGGGGTGATCTCATCCAGTCTTTCAAGATAATTAAAGGAATAGATAATGTCGAGTGTAGTAGGTTTTTCCAGTTCGATGGCAGCAAGAGAACGAGAGGTAATCGACTAAAGTTGCGCAAACTGCAGGTGCGGCTCAGGTCGAGACAGGAATTCTTTACTTGCAGAGTAGTGAACGCGTGGAATGCGTTAAATGACGATGTAGTGGCTACCCCTTCTCTGACTATTTTTAAGAAGAAACTGGATGCTTTTATGGACAGGCAAAAAGGTGGGGGGCAATGTTGAAGTTAGGGACTAGGCAGTAAGCAACTTGGATATGCTAAAAATAAAAAAATCCCCAAAATACAAAAATATTTAGCTTTAAGATTCCTGACTTTTTCTTCATCCTATACAGGCCAATGGATAATAAAATTTTGATTCTCATCACGTATACCGCGTGGCACAGAAAAGTTCCTAACTTTGTAAGCCTGAAGACGGAATACCATACGAGACATCAGCAGTAAATTTACAGACGCTTCATCCGACACGTATAGGTGATATCAAGACATTTTCAACGCAATCGGTCATTTGGAATCTGAGTAGCATTCTCTTTTCGGCGCGACGTCCAATAAACGTATATGCTCACTACGAATGCTTGCCCCACTTAGTATGGAGCTAGCCCCTCCTGGGATGGGGTTGTCCAGCTCGGGATGGATCTTGCACCGACTTTCAACTGAGTAGAGAGAAGCAAATACACCCTCTCATTCGTCACGGCGCAAAAAAAAAATTTCAGGTTCTGACAAATAAATTTCAAGGAAATGTTTAGAACATCCGGCACGTGTTGCATGCGAACCCCTGAATATTTCCTGCGGATACGCTATTTGGGGTTCCGTTCGCAGCGATGAAATTTTCGCTAAGTTGAGTCACTTTGTGTCTTGGAGGGGGGAGAGGAGGAGAAAGGGGGAAGAGGAATTCTGATCGACATGTCTCGTTGAAATGTTCTCGAAAGCAATTTCCTATATTGGACAAGACTATTTGTCATTTTTATTCTGAAACTTCATGTGGTATTCCGTTTGCAGATGTATGAAGTTATGAACATTTTTCATTTGTGAAAAATTCATGGCACAGAGAAACCACTCGTGAGAAATAAGGCTTCTGAAATACAGACAAAATGAATTCTGTACATACCTGAAAATTGTCATCGAGGGGGATGAAGACTGTCGGCCGCCGAAACGCAAGCGTGGAGTCCACATTTGTCTCCATCGACCTCCGTATCCACTACCATACGGTATTTTGAGGAATTTCGCACCGATATGCACGCTTCCAAAAGGAAGTAATAAAAAAAAGGATTCACACGTGACTTCTTTCTTTTGTGTCGTTCTTCGCACAGAAGCGACCATGAAATATCTCGCCTGGAGCGATGCGTCCTCGGAAGCTTTTTCCTGCTCACATTTTTCCAATGGAGACGCCCAGACTGCTGGGAATCCAACTCTGAGGAAATTCACGAAGCAGATTCCAGGAATCCCGCATTCGTAGTTGTCACGAGTTCTCCATAAACGCTGTCTTCCATCACTTATGCGCATGTGCGGTTTCCGTCTGGGTCAGGGTGCCAGTCTACAACTAAACTACCACTTCCCTTCCAGCTCTCTCGGATGACTGATCCATAGTAGACAATAGAAGAGAGGGGCTGCTCGCGGTCGCGTCGACAGGGTTGCTGGGCCTACGAGTGATCTACCGCATCTGGCATCCTACACCTCTAGTCTCCAAGCGACCCAGACGCGCAAACCATCGAGAACATTCTCTAATTCCAGGTCTTTTTATATAGGCCCATGTCATACCAATGACAGCTATTATTTACTTCAAAGTTGGATGGTTATGATGCAGCGAAGAAGATGATTCCAGAGGTATAAGGACCAGTGGAATGGCAGATCTGAACCTGCGTCGGTACTCTAGTCTTTCTTTAATTTGCGTTCAGTCGCATTCCAGTCGAGGCTCAGTTCATTTCCTGGCCATCGTCGTGGTCACCGTTCCGCCTTCGCTTACGGGAGCATCGGGAATTTGCAATCAGGCTGTAGTCGTTCGAGGTCTCGTTGACCATCATGGATACTTACGAGACACCCATACACGATTCTGATCGTCACCTGTCTGGTCATCGCTGCTTTGGGCAAAGATCATGACCGCCCCCCCCCCCCCTCTCTTAACCTCGGACACGAGAAACGTCATACACTGGATATGAAATCTCTACGGTCCGAAGTTTGGGTCCTTTAACGCCAGAAGGTTCATTCGCAATGTCTCGGCGGTTAGCGATACTAACATGACTATGGAATGAATAGAATTTCAGTCCCGGTTTCGATTCGATCAAGTGATCTCGGGCGACTAAAACTACGACACGACTGCAACAACGGAGCGACTGCGGCTTTGGACTCAATTGGACTGCGACTTTGGGCCGATTGCATGAACGATGTTTACTTTAGACATTGACATTGTAGTCATTGTTTAAACACTGTCTACGAAAACATCAGTTAACCGCTGTCTACTTTCGATTGCGTGAACGATCCCTAAGCCATGCTTTCAATGCCGATGGTTAGACAATGGCTAAACGCCCTTCATGGTATATAAAGCACGTTCTGACTCCTCGGCTGTCGCGTAATACACTTCGGACTCCGCAAAAAACGGGCGACTCGAGTGAAAAAGGAGAACCTTTCCATTGACCATTTAGTACATCTTGCAGAGATGTAAGGGAAAACCCCGCGATAGAGAGAGACGCGATGCACTTTCCTTGCACAAAAATATTCATGCCTGGGCACAGATGAGTT